TAAGTTTCTAATAAACTTTAAACTTCTATCAAAAATAAAGAAGAAAAATATGTTACATTACCGCTAGTCATTGTATCATTCAATCTCTTGCTCGATAAAATTGAATCCATGGTAAAAAAATTAGATGAGAAACCTAATCGATCCGAAGTGGATGAAAGGCTCATTCTGGGTTTTCAAGCAGCTCGAGACAAAATGCTTAAACATTATAAAAAGAGCAACTGGATTTATTGTACCTCTTTAATTTTACACCCAAGGCATAAGACTCAGACTTTTGACATGACATTATGGGGGAAGCAAATTAAAACAGAAAGCCTGCGCAAATTTAATGAACTTTATAAAGAATATATAAGTCTACATTCAGTGAATACATCTCTAGAATCACCAAGAAACGAAAAGAAAGTATGTGAATATGATGAAGATGAAGACGTAATAGACTTTGAGAAATTGTATGCATGTCCCTCGACGTCATCTGGATCTGGATCTTTTCATCAAGGCTTAGTTATAGACGAGTTGGAGGAGTACCTAAGTAAACCCAGAGCCGCCAGTTCGGAAGACAGTGGTGGAGGACGCATGTGACAGTATATCCGACTTTATCGAAGATGGCTCGTGATTTTCTTTCAATACCTGCAACTTCAGTACCTGCTGAGAGATTATTTTCTAAAGCATCATTAGTAATTAGAAAACATAGAAATAGGTTAAGTGATGAGTCAGCCAGATGGTTACCTTGTATTAATTCTTGGTCAAAAGAATTAATATAAAGTAACAGTAATGTCAAAGCTGTTGTGTACTGTTATGTAATTTAATTTGTATTGTATTTTATTTTTTTATTTAAATAAATGGTAAATTGTATAACTCTTTTATTCCATTTCATATAAGGGTCTATCAATCTCTTTCTAGACAGATAATGTTCTTTATAATACAGTCAAGTTAATGTCATTAATTTGTTTTTTATATGTTTTGACTAAGTTTTAGCACATATAAGCTTATTAAATGTAAACGTTTATTAAGAAACAGAGTAACTCCCGTGGCCGTGAGACTTGGTAGACAGCTCAGTTGGTTAGAGCATCGGCACGGATCGCTTAGGTTGTGGGTTCAAACGGTATTAGTTGATTTTTAGAATTTCTCATTAAATGCTTAGATATTTATTAATTTGGTTGGTCTTTCTATGGCTATGTTAATTCATGCTCAAAATGTGCCTACTTTGTTAAGTTGTTCTAAGATCTAAAGTAACGTTTAATAAATAACAATAGGCTAATTGGTAATTGCGAGACATGCGAGACTCTTGCTGCAAGACCAAGACCAAGAACAAGACCAGGTGTATTGGCGCAAGAACAAGACCAAGACTGGCTAAGTCTCGTCTTGTTCTTGCATTTGGGCAACACTGACTGCATGAATATCATATAAGCCACAAAACAGGTGTACGGATTGCAGTACAGTGCAGTTGAACATAGTCAGTGTTTGGAATGCGAAATCTAGTGCGTAATACATATACTATATCGATGTTGCCAACACGCATTCCAGTCATGGTAACTATGGCAAATATTTCCCTTGTGAGACAATCTATGGATGCCTATGATCAGCAATGGACTTTGATAGCCTGTAACGGATTATGTGATTTCCGAAATAATTGCAGTTTTATACATCAGATTTTCCATCGTAACGAAAACTAGTCCTTACGTAAAAGGCAAAAAAATACACCCGGAGCATATACGTTTGTGGTCTTTGCTAAGACTTACGTCTGTATTGGTGGTAGCTCTAGATGCTAAAATACTCGTAAACTGAAGACACTAGGCTAAAGATTATATAATCAGCAGTGGCGAAGCTAGAGCTCCAAACTAGGGCAAGCCCAAGATATAAATTGATAAAAATTTAGATTGTTGTTTTTAGCAGTTTTATAAAAATATTCCAATCTTGATCTGTCTCCACTCTTCAGTTTCATATTCAGTGCTGTCAAGGACGTGTTTAACAAAGCACACAGAAGGCATACTACAGCTAGATAGATTCTATTACATATCAGTAATTGCATAGCTTCGTGGCTTTGAAGAAAGCCGTTTGGGTTTGTTTGAACGAAAGAAAAAGATATTTATATACAATACAATACATGAACAAAAGTAAAACATGAACAAAGTACAAACCAACTATGTACAAAATAAAAAAAAAACAAATTATTTACATTTGGTAACGCCAGTTAACAAACTACTTTATCAACATTACATTATATATCACATTGAGTTCGTCCTAAGTTATATCTACTTTATCAACATAATGAAATGACTAGTGCATATTGGATTCCTTCCTTCCTTCCCTTTCCTACCGCACGCGCTGCCGCCGAGGTGAAGAAAAGGATCTCGGCGCGCGTTATTAAGTGATATTACGTCCTCCGCAACGCACGGCCAGCCGTCGCGTCTTAGATATATTAACCGCAAACCGCGCAGGACGAACATTGAGTTTTCTTGTTTATGTTTAATATTCACCGCATCAGATATTGTGTCTTTGTAACTCATAAAAGTGTGAGACGCCCCCGTAAGGGCAAAGGTCGAGAGTGTGGGACTAAAATTACAGTCCAATTTTGCACCAAAATTACAGTCCACTAAATACTTAACGAAGACACCTTAAGTTACTGGCGTCTCCAACATTCTAAATGGAATCGTCTCTCTTTCTTAAGGAAAGATTTAATTATGTCCACGTAAAATGTTGGTGAACGTCTTAATTATACCAGTAACTGTTTTTTAATTGCGATAATTGATAAGTCTGAAATACACTCTTGACCTTGTGTATTATCTCAACAAAGTTTAAAGATTTTACTTATTACTCTCCGATTAGCACTTTAACACACTTCAATTCATCACAAGGAACACTATTATCCTCCACACAATAAATCTTTAAAAAGGCATAAATTTTCAACTCGCAATATTAAAATAGCTTATGTTAAACACACAGAATAAATAAACAGTGAAATGTGAAATGAACTTGCAAAAGTGTTGCCCGCGCGCCTCCGCTCTCGACAACTTCATTCCTAAAACCTGGCATTAACTCTCTATACTAATTGCTATATATACAATCGTAGTTATATTTTATTATAGAATATTTTGCCATAGGTTAGAAAGAGAGCGATCGTGTTCTCGAAAGCCCCGTAAAAAGCCCACGCGAGCGAGGGAGACAACTAATCGCTCTATTAAAACTCATTTTTTATGATAGCAGCAATACGAGGTCATCGGTGGACCTGTGTCAAACAGTGGAGTGCGCGGGAAATTTTAAATAGTTTGAAACAGTTTACGAGTTATTTTATTAGTTGATATTATTGATTGATATTATTAATTGATTCAGTTTGATAAGGCAAGCCCGGCTTTTCGGCTTCTATAGAGACTTCGCCACTGATAATCACTACGTTTTAGCATACGGTAAAAGAATTATCGGAACATCTTGTTGTATAGTCAAAACTAGCTTTTTTATTTATAGCATTGGGTGACAAGTGAACACACAGTCCACCTGATGATAAGTGGATGCTGTGGCCCTCAGATATCCATAAGGATAAATATCCCCAATTAAGAGTCAAAATGTAAATGCGTTGTCATCTTTGAGGGCTAAGATGGAATGCCTCGATTCCAGTAAAAAGGGTCTCCGGTTCTCTACACTCACCATACGAAACACAGCAGCATTGAACTGCTATTTTACGCTGGTATTCTGTGAGAGCCTGGTCCTGCCCCGGTTGAGCCGACCCATTCATGCTACAACTATAATATAGCTGCAGCGTGGTTCTACCACGTAAAACCACGTTTTAGGAACAGTTCTAACATCCTTGAAATAGAACAGAAACGGTTTTTACATTGGAAAATACCATTGAGCTATTACGTACTACGTACTAGAGGCGATACTGCATTCAGCTAGTTTGTTCCACTCGACTGCGGTGTATACACTGCACTTTAATCAGTCACTTGCTAGGCGCTGGTAGAGTTGTCACGTGTTGTGTTGATTTAAAAAAAAATCTCTTGACAAAAATATGCCGTCGTCTGTACTTAGATATTGCACAAATAATTCAAGAAATATCAGTAAAAACCAAGGAATTACTTTTCATCGGTTAATAAGATGATACTTAAGCAATAAAAAAGTATTATAGACTAATAATAAAACAAATTATTCCTAAGACGCCATCTCGTGTCATGGACCATAGATTATGAAATTAATATGTTCAGATGCGACATTTCTGTGGGTACTTAAGTATAGGACGAACAAATTATTATAAACATTTTTTTGTAGAAACATATATAAGTTATTATAATTAGGCTAAATTTTTGATGTTTAAATCTGTTTATTATTCTTTTATTTTACTTTTAGGTTCCCACTTCAAAGTCAAAGTGGAATAAATCCGTCCATTCTTAACTCTCGCGTGCCCAGCATTTATGAACGACTCTTATTCTGATTTAAATAAACATGTTTGTAATTTAAATGTTATGTTAAGAAATTTTGTTAAACATAAATTTAGTTTGTTTTTTTATATATTTCACATAGATACCTTTTAAAATATTCAGATAAATATATCATTAAAATGTAATTGTGATATAATATTATGTAATTTTATATTAAATAAGCAAATATAATATACAAAATAAATGACAAAATTTAAATATTGTTCTCGATATGATTTACCTATTTAACAATACAATCTACTATTACCTACGGATCATTCTAAGACTTATGTTTATTCTGTGATAAAAAACCAACCGCGCGAACACAGAGTAGCGCACATTTTTTGTTTGAGTTAGCTGTTCTGGTACGTAAGTACATATTACTTTAATGGAAAATACCTACGCATACTGAAAAAGGTATCTAGGCCAACTAATCACGTTAAGCTGGAATTTCTCTATAAGTATAATATCACGCTGGCTAAACTTAAAGACAATGTATATAAAGGACACTACAAATAATTTAGATAATTATTAATTGTTGAAAAATTCTAACTAAATAATAAATTTGGTAGGGACACATTTTTTGTTACTCACCTTCCCAAGTAGATGATGTGTACTTGGTGAAATCTACACTTTTATTAGTATTAGACTGTTTATTGATTTTGTTTAACGTCTGCAGAAATTCAGACCTTAAATTAAAATAACAAATTATGTGTAAATAATCGTTCATAATATTGCATTAATTTCAGTTTGGATACGGACTGGGATTTTCAAATTAGCTAGTATACTAAAACGGCAATTTCATGTGTATCATTGTGTGAACGCAATAACGCGGTAACACTTAAAGTCGTTGGCGAGCGTAGTTTTTTTTATTAATTTCAGCTGTGTACCAGGAAGACGGTGATACCCATATCCTGTTTCGGTTTCCCTCAGTTGCCTCTCCACGAGGTGATATGGAGTAATAGATATTCTTACGCCGCCATTAACCCTCTTATTATTAATTTCCTTATTTACCCTCATTTAATTTTTACTTCTTCAACTGGAAAATAAGATAGATATTGCTTATTTTCAGGTACAGGTTCTAAGAAACGGGCAATTTATTGAGATTGTTGGGATTCAATCATCAAATAAAAAAATAGTACCTAAACGTTGTTTGCGGTGCAATCTAGGACAAAATATGTTTAATTTGACCACAAGTAACGTAAAATAACGTACGTAGGTCGAGTCTCTCATACAGGTATAATCGATAGAGCTTACACCAAATTTCCTATCTTACAAGCCAAGTACGATAACATCCCCAAACAATTTGTATTTGATAGGAAATATAAGATACAATTCAATGAAACTAACCAGCCAGAAGGTTAAACCCAAAAGAGCTTAGAATTTTCACTAATGATTTTAAAACAAATGAAGGTGCAGGATCTGGAACTTCTCGAAAGACCTCAATATCCACATATGTACACCGCTGGGTACCCACAATACAGTCTTTCAGGCAGAATGTATAAGTATCGTCCAAGCGGCCATAGCAATAAATGCCAGGCAGGTAAAAGAGTTCTCCATCAGAATATAGACCGACAGTATGGTGGTACTACAAGCTCTTTTTGCAATGTGGTGAATTCGGGACTATTATATGAATTCCTTCAACGACTAATTGAGGTATGTAAACACAACAATGTGACTCTGATGTGGATTAGGAGACACAGTGGATCAAGGGGCAACGACGCAGCAGACGAATTGGCCAGGAAAGTATTACTTGTTTTTTTTTTAATGCTTCGTTCGAATGAGTAACAATTTATGTTTAGGTCACTCATAAACAGTAGTAACAAAAATTGCCATTTTAGTTGAAAACTACTATCAATTAAAATGGCAATTTTTTAAATTAATGAGATCTAGTAATAATAAAACATTTTAAAATTGGTATATAGTAGGCATAAATTTTCAACGAATGGGCAACGACAGCTCTACAGAATTTCATATAGTTTGTAACAGTGTTAACGCGACTAAATTAATTTTAAAACAGTCTTTCAACGAAAATATTCTCTTCTTCAATTAAAAACTGGATATCTGGATTCTGTAAAAACAATAGGACCCACTATTATGATACCATTTTGAAATCGGTATTAAGTAGGCATATTTTTTCATGGTATGTATAAAGGTAGGGTTCTAATAGGAAGAATTTATTTTTTTATTCAAAAGCCTTAAATTTACAAAAAATATTTTCACACGATTGCTCCAGTATTCAGCTGTTAAAATCAAAATGAAAAAAAAAATAATGGTGATACTACAGCAAAAATAGTACCTAACTAAAGATAGCCACTTCGTAAAAAATAACACAAAGAAAAAACAGGAACACTTGGGTAAAATGGTTAAAATTATAATATGTTATTGTAAATTGTTTGTTTTATCGAATCCTTACGGTGGACCACCTTTACGTCACACCATATATCATCATTTTATATTGAGACGAAGAAAACTTTTTTAAAAACAATACTATTCAGATTCACATTAGGTACCTACTAAAATTCGTTGGTAAAAACTTTACTCAACTCAACGAACAGTTTTTATAAGAACGCTTTATACGCATGCTCGTAACAATATCACGGAACTGACAAAAAAACTTTCCCTTTTAAAAAAGGGAACAACAGTTTGAACTCAATTTCAAAAAACTCTATTTCAAAAAAGCTTATACTAATGTTAAAACTTGGTGCGGGGGTTTACGGCAGTTAGTCAAATGATGGATTTGAACTTGCGACTTTTTAAGTTTAAAACATTAAGAGTACATATATTTAAGAGCATATGTCAATACTTTTATTCAATTTCAGTGTTAAATTACTTACTTTTTAGCATTTGCTTCACTGATGTCAGCTGTGCCCTTAGGTTCTTTGTAGAGTGAATATAGGCTCGTCCCACTAGCCTCACTAATACTATGTGTAGATTTCTTTCCGGAGTCCTTAAACGTGGATGAACTCTAAAAACATAATATGTGTGTAAACGTTGTTATTTTATGCATCGATCTTTTTCATTAAAGGTTAATAGCAGTATTGGGCAAGGTTTCCGACCTAATTGCATAAGCATTACATTGGATACGGGTGGGCTTGGACAAGTAATACTACCTTATTTGCCTAGACGTTTGTGGTGTTAAAATATGTCCAGAGCAATGATATCTGGAATTAAAGTATTCCAGATATCATTGCTCTGGACATATTTTTATTTATCAGTTGAGATATCGACTAATAGAATTAAAGTTATTTTGTCGATATTATTTATATTAAAAGACGAGAAAATTAAATAATAACATCGCATCGGCACAAATATAAAATGGTGTAGGAAACAAAATCAGGCGTGTACCCAGAAGGTGCGTATTATCATAATCATCCTTACAGCCCACCGCTGAGGATAGGCTTCCCCAAGGAATGCCACGTAGCACGATCTGGAGCCACCTGCATCCGTCCACTTCATGCATATCTTACCAGGTAGTCACTCCGTGTAGTGGAGAGCTAAAGAACCTTTCTTCCCCATCGGTTAGCAGTTCTTCGAGGTATATGGCCGGCCCATTGCCACTTCAGTTTACTAATCCGTTGGGCTATGTCAGTTTCTCTGGTTCTACTGCTGATATTCTGATTTATAGGTCTATGACGCAGAGAAACCCCGAGCATAGTCCTCTTCATAGCTCGCTGAACGACCTTGAGCTTCCTCATATGGCCAGTAGTGAAGGACCACGTCTCAGATCCATAAGTCATCACTGGCAACACGCACTGGTTCTCTTATTTTCAAGTTTTAAGGTATACCTGACGAGAAGATGTGTCGTGATCTCCCGAACGCTGCTCAGCCGAGTTAAATCCGACGATTGACCTCTTGATTGAAGTTGGAAGTTAGTCGGACTATTTGTCGCAGGTAAATATATTCGTCAACAAGTTCGAGTTTCATCATCATCATCATTACAGCCCTTCACTAGTCAACTGGCAACTGGCAACACGCACTGGTTGTACAATCTAGTTTTTGGACTTTGAGGTATACCTGACGAGAAGATGTGTCGTAATTTCCCGAACGCTGCCCAGCCGAGTTGAATCCATCGATTGACCTCTCGGTTGAAGTTAGACTTACCTAGTCGGACTATTTCGTCCCAGATAAACGTACTAGTCAACAACTTCGAGCTTAGTGCTCCCAACAACTACCGGCATAGGTGTGACGTGGATATTAACGATTTTGTTTTGTCCATGTTTATCTTAAGACCTATCAATTGGGAGACACCATTGAGGTCATTGAGCATAGTGCTTAGGTCCTTCAGCGATTCTGCCATAAGGACTATATCGTCGGCAAATCGAAGGTGAGTGATGTACTTGCTATTGATGTTAATACCGTATTCTTTCCAGTCCAGTAGCAGGAAAACGTCTTCCAATACAGCGGTGAAGAGTCTCAGCGATGTAACGTCACCCTGTCTTACACATCTCTGCAGTTGGATAGGTTTCGAACTCTGGTTATGTACTCGGATAGCCATCGTAGCTATACTGTACAAACACTTCAGCACTTCGATATACCGATCGATATACCGACAGTCAACGTAGCACCACTGAAGGGACTGTAGCACCGCCTACATTTCTACGGGATCAAAGGCTTTCTCATAGTCCACATACGCCAGGCAAAGTGGCAGATTGTACTCTTCGGTCTTCTGCTAAATCTGCCGCAGGGTATGTATGTGGTCTATGGTACTGAAGCCTCTTCGGAAACCGGCTTGTTCGGGAGGCTGGAAGTCGTCGAGTCTGCGTGTGAGACGATTCGTAATGACTCTCGAAAACAGCACGTAGAGGCGGCTCAGAAGGGAAATAAGTCTGTAGTTCTTCAAGAGAGCGTTGTCGCCTTTCTTGAAGAATAAGACCACCGCACTTCGCCCACGCTTCCGGAGTAGTGCCACCATGGAGGACGGAATTGAAGAGCTTCTGAAGGACTTTAAGTACAGGTGTTCCACCCACTTTCAGAAGCTCCGCTGTAATTCCATCGTCGCCTGGGGTCCTGCCGTTTTTAAGGTTCTGGAGAGCCATTTTAATCTGCTCAGACTGACGTCCGGGATATCATCGGAATAGTGTCGGATAAGACTTGCTCTTGGATCGTTACACTTGGTTGTGGCTTCAACGATGATGTGTACAGCTGCCCATAGAACCTCTCAATCTCACTCAAAATCTCAGGTGTACCGGAAACAATGCTGCCACACTCTGTCTTCAGCTTCGACTGTTGGCTCTTTCTGGCAGACAGATCTCCGGCAAAGACTTTGGAGCTCTGGTTCGCTCGATCGCTTCTTCAATACTAGCAGTAGTAGTTAAAGTTGCGTAAGTCCCGCCGCATGCATTTGGAGATGTCTGTTCAGTTTTATGTTTCATGCTCGTTTTGAGCTCTTTGTTGTAATTCTGCTGTCGCTAGCTTTGACTGCTGTAGTTTTGCTTGGATGATATGCATACTGTGAGTGTCTCTCTTTGGGAAATGTGACGCGGTAACAAACACGTGGTTTGTTGGTGGTGTGGTCACTTTTGGAACGGTTTTGATGACATATATAAATAACAAATTTTAGATATTGTAACTGTACGACTACTTTAGTCGTGTGGAAGTACAAACCATATTAAAAAGTCCGAATTTGTTGGTAGCTTTAACGAATTTGTAGTCAGCTTCACTTTCAGTCAAGAACGGATATTCAGATGTTCGATGTTCCTTCGGTACAGGTACTGCCTGTTGTGAAATTTAATAAGGAAATAAGAGTAGTAAAAGCAAATATTTTGTCAATTAAATTAAACTTATATAATATTGCTTATTTAATTTGATTTCTTCGAAAAAGTTTTGAGAGAAAGTAAAAAATATTACGAGGAGAATTTCGTTAAGTATTCCAGTTACTAGTATTCGTTGAGATAATAGAATTTGTAAGGTCGATATTTCCTGCGGTAGCATCACAGATGTTTTTTTTTCGTTGGCCCGTATGTGTGCTCTGAAAATGCAGGATGTGTTTTAGTATCTAATGTTAATGAGATAATAACTATTCGCAAGTTTGATAAAAATTCCTACTCTTTTCGTTCTTTCTGCCTTCTAGAGAGGGTTGATTTGTTTGAGTATGATGCTAAAATGAGGTAAGGTCGTCGACCACGAAGTTTAAGCATTAGAGCTCCGATCAAATCCATTGTTGCCAGTCGAACTCTTCCATCGTTTATGAAAGCTTCTTCACGACCTAATTTTTTACAGTAAATTTATTACATTATTCATAGAATCAGGCGTTACTTTGCGGAAATCCATTACATTGCAGTTGTTAGAACTTAATTTGTTCGTTTCCGCGTATTGAAATAAATTGATGTATCTGAAGTGCTTCAGAATGGGCTGGACACATCATACTAAAATTCAATTTAAATTATTCTTAGGGACATAATTATTATAGTTTTAATTAGATGCATAACATGATGGTGGCGTGACTTAGTTAATTATTGTGACGCTTTTAAAAATGTCAATTTTATAAATTTTTATTAATTTTATTTTATTTTATGACTTAAGTGAAAGAAAATCGCTGTCTGCGATAGAAAATCCGCTTGCTAAGCATGTTCAATTGCAACAAATCCCTTCCACAACTATCTCTATTAAACAAGTACACTTAACTGGCGAAGTCTTAGAACGATAGTTGTTGATTTCTAAGGAAAGTAATTACGGTTTGAGAGCTTTTTGGTATTTTTATAGGATAAGTGTGAGAAAAGAGGATACAGTCCACCTGATTGAAAGAGTATTCTAATCTCTACACTCAACATTCGAAACACAGCAGTATTAAGCTGCTATTTTACGTTGGTATATAAATTAAAAATTTATATTCTTAAGATAAATAGAAATAAACATTTTATTCTTTTAAATTTTAATAATCACTAGCATTGTAAAATAGTTTATCCGTTATCGGCTACGGACATAAAATGCACTTGAGAGAATAATGTTGTTACCGTAGTAAACGCGTATTCTGCATACATATTAATATGTTTAGATTTTATGATATTATACAAATTTATTTTGCGCCTCTGCTTCGGTAATAGAATAAAACTGCCAAAATATATAAATTATTATAATAATTCTTTTCCATTCGTTTCTTGGTACCAAAATCCTCTTTATCCTTTGCAGTTTATTAAGTTTTTATTGCACCTCAAATAAAGAATTACAATGTGCAAAATTATTACCTTGCAATGATGTTAACTTTGTTTTTTTTAATTTGTCGAGTTAAGTTAATCTAAATACAAAACACGTGGTTGTCCTTAAAACGTATCATACGTTTTAAATAGAGGACTGCTTGATACTTCTTTATTTTATAGAAGAGGGGCTCTTATATAGCAAACGAGCATGCGGCTCACCTGATGGTAAGTGACTACCGCCGCCCAAGAACAACCTCAAGACTAGGGGAGTAGCAGGTGCGTTGCCGGCCTTTTAAAAAGGAGTTAGTTGTTTTGTTGAAGGTCTCTAATTCGTATCAGTAAGTGGTAAACAATTCCACAGAATCGTGAAGCAGGGGGTGTGGCCGTGGAAGGAAAAGGGGAGATCCGCCGGGCTAAGTGTTCTGCCCGGGGAGCGGCCAACACTCCATCTGATAGTTTGGAGATGTTCTATATATATATATATATATATATATATATATATATATATATATATATATATATATACTGTTTATAATTCGGAATTTTTACCCTACAAAATGTTTGTGCTGAGTTGAAACGCCGCCATTGAGCGTACCGGGAACTTAAATTGACATAGTATGCCAAATTCTGTGAATCTGTTGTGTTGTTCAAAACGTCTCTCTGTATTTAAACTTTTAAACAAAAAAGAATTAAAGTATTTTGTATAGTGCGGTTATATTTAATTTTAGTTAGTTAGTAGAAATAATAAAAGTGTACGTAATTTTTAAAACTCGTTACCAAAAGGTAAGTGGGATATCATTCCACAAGTGAGTAAACTTACAGTTACTATTAAAAAAATATTAAACTTATTTGATAATATAGGTAGGTAGTTAAAAATTTGTTACCAATCTTAACATCGTAATTACCAACATATTCGGCTTTATATTACTGCGTTTTGATAAACAGTAAAATTCAATAGTGTTGTCTAGTTCCTTGTCTACAACACTTATCAATGTTCTTTTTTACCCATATCTGTTAACGACCAAAGTCGCTGAAAACTAATAGTCATCAAATATTTATTGATTAACAGGTGGGAATAAAATGATTTTTACGGATTCTATTTCGGTTAATTTTAAATTATCCCCTACGTTTAAGGCACTTTCCAGCACTCATATTCACGGGAGGAACTTAGATGTTTGTCGTCCCGATGTAGTTAACGAAGTCTAGTAATTTTAGGTCCGTTCTACGCAGCACTCCAGCACGTTAAGCAAGTTTTGCACGACAACAAGCTTCGGGCCCCGCGCCTCCGTCACAGTGACCTAAAGAAACTGTCCACAGTCGAGATTGGCTACATCTTGAAGTGGGCCACCATAAGGACATACTACAAGCCGCTGAAGAGGATTAGTTAGTTCTAACCATCGGTCAAGTGTTTTTTTTTATTTTTTATTACCATTTAAAACAATTACATTAGATTTGATAAACCACAAATCCTCGCAAAAGAACACCGATTCATGCTAAGGATGATTTGCGAGGCTATTGAAAAAAATAAAAAATAGCCTAATTTCAACAGAAAAGATGGCTGGGTGCTACCATTTGCTTGGGTTCTCATAATTAATAAAATGAAACCCAAGCATATCACTGTAATACTTTAAAACCCTGTCAGCTCGTTCTGCGTAGATTGGAGCAAAAATTAATATTTAAAAGTTGAAGGTAGCCTTCGTTAACTATGACATCGGGACTTCGATCAACAATACCAACTAGATAAGGGTCAGCGCAGACCGAACTGAAAAATGCTCGCGCATGCTCGAGCAAAATTTTGGTTACTCGACCATGCAGGCGGCATCCGCGCACCTCCGTGAGCAAGATCCATTGAAAGTGCTCTGGGTTGCTAAGGGGGCGTGCGTACCCAATTTTATGCCAAAATCCGACGTTGATAGACGTGTTTAATATGATCGATTGAGACTACGTGATTTGTGTACATGAAGAACATATTAATGAAATCAGACGTCAGAAAATTAGAAGAACAGTATGGGTAGAAGAAACGTGGAGATTCTTTTCCAAGCATTGGCTTTTAACATACTATCGCTGTATGTTAGACTTGATTTATTGTACAGATACTCAAAACGCTGCACCAAACTTATCAAATTTTCTTCGTCCATGATTCCGACTTATGTGACGCGCTTTTAACTAAACACACGTCCAAACAGTTTTTTCGCTGTGGCAATACTGAGCGCGGGCGGTGGCGGTGCGAGCGGCCTCGCGCATGCTTGAACATGCATCCTGCAACTGCAAGCTCGAGCATGGTCGAGCATCACGTTTGGATGTGTATATAATTTTGCACTGTCTGTCAATAGTCATAAAACTAATATTTTAGTGTTCTCAGAAAATGCTCTGCTCTGCTCTGCTCTTGGTGTGTGCTGACCCTAACGGGTCACGTACAAAATCATAGCTAAATACTGTCCCCGTGAATATAAACTTAAACAGTTACATTTGTTTACTAAAGAAATGAGACAAAAAATTAAAATAGTTTTAAGCTCAACCTAATTACAACCGTCGCATCTAGTAATAAAGTCACAAATCTTACGATCATTAGTCACAAAAAAAAGAACAAAGCTATACAATACTCCTATCACTTGGAAATGAAAAGACATAATTTAAATAAACTTTGGTGTGAAATCAACCTTAACGTGTAACAAAGTTCTTTTTCCCGTTATTGCCTTGCGAAGTACGTCATTTTGTTATGTTTCTGTTTTCTTCTTCGAATTTGGTCCAGGAAGTATTGAGTCGCGTTGAATACTAAAATAATTAATAATATGATCATAAGTTTAATTAAAATTATTTTTATGTTTTGTGGAATTTATGATTGTTGGTATACACTTTCCACACTAGCCATTAAATATAATATAGTATGTAGTATATTGATTGCATTTAATTAACTAATTCAATATATATATCTATTTTAGTTTTTGTATTTGAAAAGGACGAAGAGAGAATGAAATGTGAAATATGGGTAAATCAGGAATGTCTAGAACAGGTAAATGAAATTGTATACTCGGGGAGTGCTTTCAGCCGGGATGGAAGATGTGATTTAGATGTGGATAGGCGTGTCGCTGCCGGAAACAAAGTCAATGGTGCCCTGAATGCATTAGTAAAAAGGCAAGGCGTGGTGAAGAGTGCACGCCTTGCAATACATAACGCAGTGTTGGTACCGACTTTGTTATATGGCAGCGAAACCTGGGTATGCCAGAAGAAGCATAAAAGCAAGTTGAATGCAGTGGAGATGCGATCTCTTCGTAAAATGTGTGGCGTTACCATAGCCGACCGAAAGCGAAACGAAGAGATTCGCAATATGGCAGGATTAAAAGATGACCTTATCACAAAAATTGATAGGGGTGTACTCCAATGGTTTGGGCACGTTGAACGAATGAGTGAAGACCGAATGGTGAAGAAAATATATAGAGCGAAAGTAAATATTAAAAGGTGTCGAGGTAGACCGAGACTAACTTTCGAAGACCATGTGAGCAAATTGCTCGAAGAGGGGAGGGTCAAGAGTACTCGGATACCTAGACGTGCATGTATGAAGAAGTTAATGAACCTGAAAGAAGCGAAAGAGGTATGTAAGGATCGTGACACTTGACGATCTGTTCTCTCTGGCTACCCCGTTAGGGATTGTGCGTGAAGATAAGTAAAAGTAAAAGTAAAACTAAAAGTTAGTTTTTGTATGTATATATGTTCGTAGTATGTATATATCTATGTATAGAAAAAATATATATATATATATATATATATATATGATGTATTCTTTTTTATCACACCAATTTGTCCTACTCCTGTCATCTTCATGTAATCCTGTCAATTTATTGGTTGTCTGGAAGAAATTGCTGTCAGCAATAAGATCGCCCATTGCATACTTTTAAAACGTGGTAGAGAGCCATGTTGCAATTATATTAGTAGTATAGTTGTAGCACTAATGGGTCGGCTCGACCGGGGGAAGAAAGCTAGGAAAGCTAAAAAAAATCTAAGTATCTATTGGAATTACACAAACAAAGACAAAAGTAGCAATTACCATTATTTAAAATTTTTGGTAACGAATTATTAAAAATTATTACAATACAAATCTACTTCATGCGTCCATGTTCTGTTTCACAAATGTTTGTGCGTGTATTGGTCAACATTGGCAAAACATTTGTAGGGGTGGTTTTGATCGGTAATTTTGTTTAAAATATGATATTATTTGTTAGTTTAGAGCTTAAAAGATAACATATTATACATGTAATTACCGACCCGACATCTAGTTGGTAATGCTGATCGAAGCATCGGGACGTGAAACACCTCAGTCTCCCCGTGACCTTGGACGCTGGAAAGTGCCCAAAACGTCGGGAATTAAAAGAGCTAAAATTAAACGCGATAGAATCCGTAGTTTTAATCCATGTGTAGTTTTGGCGTAAATATAAGAAATCATTTATTAACAGGTTTTCAACTGACCCTAAGCTAAAGCACGTCCGAAACAAAATGATTATTATTGTTCCAAATACTACACCGGCTGTTTTATTGAACATGTGACACGCACCACTTTGAAAATTGCATACCCACAGATTTCCTGGTAGTACCAGTACAATAGTATAAAAGTATTATATTCTTATTTCGAATGTTTTCTTTATTTTTTTCCCCTTATTTTCCCCCAAACTCAAGCGCCATAGCCAAGTGTAGAAAGGCCGCCTGATGACGACTTTGTTTATTTGTTTCATAACAAAACGTTGTAAATTTGTTAAATCTGTTTAAATAATATGACCAATTTATTATGTCAGGGGAATTAATAAGGGAAATATTGGGTCTACATACATCTTAGTCCTCACGGGTGACAA